GACCTGAAGGGCAGCTAGGGGCCATAGTCTCAGTGGTTCCACCAGGCTCTGTTGGACCAGCAAACCTGGTCCCCACCTTTAAAAGAACATTTTAAAGGAAGCTTGCTATATAGTGTCTGTTGCTGAGTAAATATGAAATATTTTCAGTTGTTTTGCAGGAAAATATGTTAGGGTGAATAATTACCTACACTTCTACTTCTTTTATTTTAAATGTAATATTAAGTGTTCATACTAATTGCCCCTTGAAAAGGAGTTCCTTAAAAGTTCATTTCAAAGTACCTTTCCTGCCTTTAACAAGAAATACAATTTTATTTTTACAAGTCTTGATATTTACATTTTTTTCTCCTTCCTTGGTGGCACAATGGTTAAGTGCTCTGCTGCTAACTGAAATGTTGGCTCAAACCCACCAGCTACTTTATGGAGAAGAGACCTAGTGATCCTGCCCATAAAGAAGGAAACCCTATGGGGCAGCTCTACGCTGTCATGCAGGGTTGCTATGAGTCAGAATCAATAACAACAATTAAGTGGAGCATTATAAATCATCTGGCCCAAGCAATAAGTTTTGGATTATGGAATCACTTCTAGATAGCTAATATGACCTGGGTAAAGTCATGTTGAATTAGTGCTCACATGGAACCAGAACCTAAGCCTTCAGAGTCTTTATCGGTCTTTTCATTAGGAGGTTGTTGCTTGAAATGAATGCATGTCACTTTGCCTTAAAACTTTTTTTTTTTTTTTTTTTTAAGAAATCAGTGCTAGTTTGGCACCACCTTCTCTGGATCCAAGCCTGACTTTGAAAGATAGGATGTGGCACCTTCAATGCTGCTTGCAAAAAGATTCTGATAAAGAACATTCTGTTATCATCTATGACTTCATCCAAAGCTATAAAATTCTTCTTCTGTCTTGTGGTATCTCCCTGCAACAAAATCATGAAGATCCAAAGGTTTCGTATCTTATTTAATTTTTATGTACTTAAAATATTAGTGTTCATGGCTAATTCTTAAATGACTTGATATTTATTTAGCTATAATAATGCATGTTAAATCTTTTAGTCACTCCTTTATTCAGTAATCTTATTCACCCAGAACAGAAAATTATGCACAGACGCCTCTGTGTAGATAAAAGAGGTGTCACAAATTCCAAACCCTAAAGTTTAAACCTATCCTCAGAGATTTATTTTTTTAATTTTATTTTTGGTGAAAATATGCACAGCAAAACCCACTCCCATTGTGCCCATGACCATGTATAGGGTTGATAGACAATGTTTCTACAAGTGTATTTATATGTTTTCTAAGAATTCCCAAGTGTATATAGTACAGCTGACAAGGGACAAGGTTGTAGTCACTTCTTGGCCACAGCCAGCTACCTAGACGGAGCAAGTAGTTAGACCTGTGGGCTCAGGACCATAGTCACAGGGGATATCAAACTCAATCGGCATAACATTCTACACTAAAACGTTGTTCCACATCCTACTTTGACAAGTAGTGACTGGGATCTTAAAAGCTTGCAAGCAGCCATCTAGATGCAACAATGGGTCTCTCCTTGTCCAGAGCAAAGAAGAATGAAGAAAACCAAAAATGTGTGGAAACAATTAGTCCAAGCGACTGGTACACTATTTGATCCTCAGGCTATTCGACTATGAGACCAGAAGAATCAGATGGTGCCTGGCTACCACTGTCAACCACTTAGAGGGGTATCTCTGTAGGAGATCCTGGACAAAGGGAGAGAACAATGTGGAACAAAACTCTAAAACAAACAAACAAAAAAAGGGACCAGGTTTGCTGGTCTGATAGAGCCTGATGGAACAGCTGAGACTATGGCCCCTAGCTGCCCTTCAAGTCTGGAATTGAACCCACTTCCATGGCTTCCAGCCAAACAAAAACAGGCATATGAGCTGAATATTTACATTAGGTAAATACACTCCTTGGAGAGATCATTCATGGGAGAACAAAAGGTCTGTGTATGCACAGGGAGACAGCTTGGGAACAGAAGTGCATGAGAGGAAAAGACAGAGAAATGTAAGTATGGGGAGGAAATGGGAGGGGAGCTGTTGCATTGTGGGAAATTGCACAAATGTCATGAGACAAATTGTATGCGAGCTGCTGTATGGAAAGTGAATTTGCTCTGTAGACTTTCGTCCAAATCACAATAAATTTTTTTTAAAAAACAAACTCACTCCCATTGCAGTTTCTAGGCATACTGATCAGTGACATTGGTTACATTCTTCTTATTGTGTCAGTGTTCTCATTATTTCTCTACTAGTGGTTTCACTCCCATTTGCTTAATCTCCTTGCTCTTCGACCTTATCATTGTGGTCTTAAATAAGTTTTCACACTATTTGTCCCTTTAAAATAGCTGTTGACCCTTTGGTCTTACATAGATAATTTTTCTTTTTTAAAAGAAATTTAATACTCAAGGATGACCATCTTTACTATTTGGGCTTAACTGTTACTTAGGTTAAAGGTGATTTCAATTCAGTGTTTGAAGAGCAACTCAGGGCCATAGTCTCAGGGACTCCTCCAGCCTCAGTAGATCCAGTTAGTCTGGATTCTTTAGCAAATTGAAGTTCTGTTCCATATTTCCATCCCTTTTTATCAGGATTCATTTATTGTGTTCTTGATCAGAACATTCAGTGTTGGTAGCCAAGTACCATCTCATTCTTCGTTCTCAGAGATTTTTTAAAATTTTATTCTGGTCATAAATTCGAAGTTTCCTGGCTTACATTAAATTAGAAGTGAAAGAAGAACTGTTATATTTAGCTATATGATAGCAGGATGTTTCAAATATTCATGAAAGTGGAGGCAGAAAATAGGAAAAGTAGGTGGCTATAAGATGTCAAAAGGAGCTCTGGTGGCATAGTGCCCAAGGCACTTGATTGCTAACCAGAAGGCTGGCAGTTCAAATCCATCAGCTACTCTTCAGAAGGAAGATTGGGCAATCTATGTCCATAGTGATACCACCTTGGAAATCCAAGGAGGGGTTGCTATGAGTCGGATCCAACTCAATGGCAGTGAGTTAGTGAGTTTGGTTGTTTTTTTTTTTTTTTTTTTTTTTTAAGAAGTCAAAAGGGATAGTAGTTAGGGGCGATTTAGCATAGGGGCAAATCATGTTAGTAGTCCCTGAGAACATTTCTATATAATAGTAGCAACCTATGGTATACCCTACATACCCTTAATAAAGGAGGCTTGATGGCACAATGGCTAAGCACTGGGCTGCTAACCAAAAGGCTGGCAGTTTGAATCCATCCAGCAGTTTTGTGAGAGAAAAGACCTGGCAACCTTCTTCCATAAAGATTACAGCCAAGAAAACCCTAAGAGACAGTTCTACTCTATCAGATAAGGTCACTAAAAGTTGGAATTGACTTAAAGACATCCAAAAACTACTACAATAAACATTAAATAGTATTATGTATTTTTTGAAGATATTTATTTTTAATATCATAGTCCTCAAAGGGATAAAATGTCACTCTTTTCCCCTGTTGATGCTATATACATGAGATGAAGAATTTAGAATTGAGAAATATTACCAGTTGGTAGTTGTTATCAATATGTATATATATAAAACCAACTCATTGCCATCAAGTCAATTCCAACTCACAGTGACCCTCGTTGGGTTTCTGAGGCAGTAAATCTTTACGGAAGTGGATTGCCTAGTCTTCCTTCCGTGGGGTGGCTGGTGGGTTTGAACCACCAACATCAGTAATAATAGGATAATTTTTAGATTTTTTTAGCTTTTTTTTTTTTTTTTTGCAAAGATTTTCAAAAACAACATCAGATAAATTCCATATAGTTTTTAAACTGATGTTTCCTGGATATAAAAAGTTGTCACTTAAAACGAGAATATGAGCAATATGAGCCTCTCACGAAAACTGCAGGAACATCTTAGATTTATGTAACACTTTTGGCTTAAACTACTTGAAAATATTTCATTCTTAGTTTTGTTAATCACAGCATTTTTTTAAATTTAAGACAATAAATTATTATTTTATAAAATCTCACCTTCATGAGAAACGTGCCAACTTTTAAATCAGATTATTTTATCTAATACTCCATTATAAAACTTCATTCTTTACTTACAAAAGAAATAATTGAGTCATATGATAATTGTCAGAATTATGAACAAGGTTTAGATTTTCTTATTCTAAATCCAGTTTCTTATCTCCTAGATATAGTTTTAAAACTACACATCTTCTAGTCTTACCAGGAAGCTAAAAATAGCAATCATATGACCAGTTGGATGGTCCTGGTGACAGGATCTCATCCTGAGAGAAAGGTCTATAGGTTTTCTAAAACTATGGATATGAACTTTTTGTGGTAAAACGTTTATGCCTTACTGTTTCTGATGTTGAAAGAACTATACACACTAACCTATATATAGGCTCTACTTTACTATAGTAGCTGAGCTAAAATCAGCCTTAGGGGAGTAGAGTTCATATGCATTTTTCAGAAACATGGTTTCAGTTAGCTGAGAGGCACTTGATTCAGCAGAAGCATTGAAGTGATGGAACTTTACTTCGAAGACCACTGCTGTAATCGATATTATAAAATGAGTTCTATAATAATTATCCTTTCTGTCTCTTCTGGGAAGACCACTGAAAATGAGTGAGATTAGAAAAATGAGCTGCTTTTATTTTTCCTATTTAAGAATACAGTAATATCTTTGAAAAATCAAGTAAATACTCATATTACAATCCAATTTAGGTGGCATGCTGGTTATTAAATCCAGATTCTAAGGAGCCAACTCTTCACAGCATAGTTACCAGCTTTCTTCCTGATGCGCTTCCACTCCTGGAAGGAATGGAGACCGGACAAGGGATTCAGAGCCTGGGGGTGAATATTAGCACTGAGCACTCAGGGCGATACAGAGCATCTGTAGAGTCCATTCTCGTCTTCAATTCTATGCGTCAACTGAATTCTTTGTTGCAGAAGGAAAATCTTCAAGGTAAAAACAAAGTATCTGGCATCTTTATGATGCTACAGACTGGGGATGGTTATATATATTTAACCACTGTTTGTCACAAATGGATAAATTATACATTTTATGCAGACCCTGCCTTTGGATTAAGGCACTCTGGTGGCGTAGTGCCTAAAGCATTTGACTACTAACCAGAAGCTTGGTGGTTCAAACTCCGCAGAAGGAAGATGGGGCAATCTATTTCCCCCAATGGGGGTCACTGTATCTCGGAATCAACTTGATGTCAGTGGGTTTGGTTTGGTTTGGTTTAACTCTGGATTGTCTAGTGCTGGGGTTGAGAAACTTTTTTCTGTAAAGAGCCTCATAGTAAATATTTTTGACTTTTCAGATGAGATGGTCTCTACCACACATACTCAATTCTGTCATTGTAGCCCCAAACCAGCCATCTGAAAAAAAGAAACAAACAAACAACAAAAAAAATGGACTGCCATCAAGTCAATTCTGACTCACAGTCACCCATAGGTTTCCAAGACTATAAATCTTTACAGAAGCAAACTGCCTCATCTTTCTCCTGTGGAGTGGCTGGTGGGTTCAAATAGCTGACCTTTTGGTTAATGGCCCACGGCCTTAACACAACACCATCAGAGCTCCTTAAAGCAGCCATAGATATTACAAAAATGAATAGGCATGTCTTCAGAATTACATGCTTTCAATCTATTTGTGAGAGAACTGTTCCAATACTTAAAGACAGTTATTTCATCTGTAAAAAGAGAGGACTGTGGGTTGCCGCAGCTTTAAGATTGCCTTGCCAAGTCAGGGAGGGGATGAGGAGCAGGCAAGCAGAAAACCAAAGCTTTCCTGCTGCTTACTATTAGCTTTTTATTGATTGAGCATCTGCTTAGTTGTATCCCTTTGACTTGGTTCCAGGGTTCTGGCAAAGCTAGTCCTCCCAGCCTCTGCTTGCTTGTTTGTTTCTGCACCCCACCCGCTGTTTATGTGGGAGGTGGGGCAAGTCTGTGCAGCTGCTCATGCTGCCATCTTACTCTAGAATCTAATGAAATCCTTTAATTTTGTAAATACTTCATATTTACTTATTATAAATCTAATCATTCCATATCTGCAGTTCTTGGGGATCTAAATCTGTTTGTTTTTTCTGTGGCATCTCATTCATACTTCTTTGCTATCTTGTAGTTTTTCATGCTTTTTGTGCCTCCATATGAATTTAATCTATGGAGCCCTAGAGGTCTATCTTCGAGGAAGCCTTTCTTTAGGAAAGTTTTGCTCCTGCCTCTGGTGGTTACTGCATGAAAAGACTGGGTTAGCCTTTCTTGACGTTTTGGCTCAGAACAGAAGTCTGAGACTTAGCTTTTCCTCCTGTTGCTATTTCAAGGATCTTTATCCTTCATTCTCTTCGTTATAGGACTCATTTTCATGACATCCTTACTCCTTCCCACTGACTGTGTATCCAGCCTGGGTTCCTGTCACTCTGACTTTGTATTGCTCTGACTGCTCCTGCTCCTGTTCTGGCTCTAGTTCCTTCTACTTCATGGGTCCCACATCTCATGAAGTTTTCCTCTGGCTCCCGGCCTCCAAAGCCAGCTCCTAACTACCTGGTACCTGCTGCTAGCCGTTTTTGTTTTTGGTGATGTTTATGTGGCTTCATGGAGATCTCTCCTGCTCTTTGAGACCAGCAGTGCTTCAAAGAATGTGTATTGGGAGTCTGGGAGGGCAAGTGGTGTTTTTGAGTCCTAGTGACCCATTGTCCTAGAAGCTGAAGTTGGTCTGTGAGTTTTGTGTAGCCTGTGAGTTTTTTTCTTAATGATTTAGGACTATATTTCCCATAGTACATTCTATGAACACTTTCTTTCCAGTATATTAATAGATATTATATTAAATAAAGGGTTTTATAGTTGTATTACAGCACCTGAACTCACCTAAATTCCTGAGGGAAAAGAATCAGTATCATAACAAAGCTGGTTTCTGTGAGGTGGAGGTCCAGGCATACCTCTGCTCTCCAACTCTTTCACCATTTCAGACACCAGTCATTCTCCCCATGGCACTCTCTACTTCTCTTCTGGGTTCAGTAATTTGTGGCAGTGGCCACACATAACTCACACACCATACTCACAGTTATGAAGTAACAGGCTGCAACTTGGGATCAAGATCAACTTGTAAGTAACAGAATACACCTCAGGAGATGGGACAGCTGCCAACCAGGAGAGCACACAGCTCCCTTTTGGATATGCTAGCTGACAGCCCTTCTCGGCCCACAGGCAGGCATTTCTTTAGGCTGTGCATGTGCCCTTTTCTGCCTTTGGCCTCCCTGCTGGCAGCCTCTTTGCTGCTAACTTCTGCAACTCATGGCCAGTGTAGCAGCCCACTTGGCTGCTGCCCTCCTAGCAGGAGTTTTTTCCTGTCACTGTTGGCTATGCTGCCAGACCCCTCTAGGCTTCTGCCACCAGGTCCCTCTAAGCCTGTGTTGCTGGTTCCCTGTAGGCCTTTGCCTTGTTTGGGCAAGTATTATAGCTCTTTAGCTCAGCCAGCCAACCTCCTACCCAGAGGCACCTGCTTGCTTGCTCTCTCTCTCTCCCTTTCTCTCTGTCTCTCTGGCCTGACAAGCCCACTGTGTCGCCTCACAGTGTTACAGCTCTTCACTCACAGTATAGCTCTTTTAGGAGTTTCTCTCTGCCTGTCTCTCTCCTCTTGCCTCTAAAAACCTCTCTGGAGTTCTCCACTTTATGATCAAGCTCCTTGTCAATTTCAAGGCATGACCCTCCCAACAGGACCACAAACCAACCAATCCCTGCAAGTCACTCAATCCTATTGGGTGGCTTTACGTACCATTATTTTCATAGAAAATTGACCAATCCCTGTAAGATGCATAAAATAGACCAATTACAGGAGAGACTGCAGGCCAGCCAATCATTTTTGGCAGAATTATAAATCCAAGCCCAGAAAAGGCCATATATAAAGAGATGCTCATTTCATTACAGACCTCCCCTTAGCCTTTTTGTCCATAGTTTCTTATACATGCTTAACATTTAGAGGATTACTTCCCCTTTACCAGTCGAAAGTGATCAGTAACAATTAGTTCTTCAGTAGGGCAAATTCCTTAGGATGAGATCACTGAGGTACCAGCCACTCAGGTCTGCTGCAAATGTCCATCTGATCTGGTTAGATTCTTCAAACGACCATTCCAACTTTACCCTTTCTGGTCTCTGATAAAAATTAAGTGTAAGATAATTATTCCTTTGCTCTGAGCCTCTTGAGGTATCAGCATAGTAAAATCGTTAAGAGATGTTAGGTTTGGGCATGGTACTCTAGTTTAGCACCTGCATCTGCCGTAGTCCAAATAAGTCAAATAAATTTGGAATTTTCAGTAAATATCCAAAGGGAGCATATGGAATGTAGAAAAGCACAGTATGTACGGTAGTTCTCAACTCTGCCTTTTTACAGAGAATCTTTGGCATGAAGATTCCAATGAATATCCTGGTTAAACTGAAATAGAATATGTACTTTGCTGAAAATATCAGTAGATAAAAAAATAGTCTGATTCTTACTTCAGGAAAATTATCATTTACTATTCAACAAAAGCATTGAAAATTATGAAACCTCTATATTTAGTTCTTTGTGCCAACATGCATGTACCCCAGAGACAGGAATCTTAGAAATGATTTCAGAAAATTAACCCTTTGTAGGCAGCTCAACAAACAAGATTGGTGACCCTGCTCCTGCTAAGAACAGAAGCAGAAACATATTGTGATAAGTGTGGTTACTTGTAAACTAAACTCTTCACAAAATTGCCAACTCGTCCACTCTGCATACACAAGAATGGTAGTTCAGTGCTTCTCCTTTTGTTGTTGTGGAGGTGCTGCGCAGGAGACAAGAGCCTGAAGATTGAGTAGCATTTCTGGATTTTTCTTGACAAAGTTCTATTTATGTTTAGGTAATACTGCTGATCTAGTCACTTAACTGATGAGTTAATGTCTTTAGTTTTCTTTTTCTTTTTCTTCCAGGTGTTTTCCATAAAGTAGAAATGCCTTCTCAGTACTGCCTGGCCTTGCTAGAACTAAATGGAATTGGCTTCAGTACGGTGGAATGTGAAAGTCAAAAACACATAATGCAAGCCAAACTGGATGCAATTGAGACGCAGGCCTATCAACTTGCCGGCCATAGTTTTTCCTTCACCAGTTCAGATGACGTTGCTGAGGTTGTATCATGGAAATAGAGGATTTACAGAAAGAATTTTTAAAAGTTAAAAGTGATTTGTATATATGTATATTTATTAGGATGTGTATACCTAAACACCAAAGATTATTAAACAAAAAGTTAACTAGAATTCTTTGGGGATAGAGTATTCAAGCATCTAGTTTATAAGTTACTTCTATATTTATGAAAAAGAAAAAAACAAGCTCACTGCTGTGGAGTCAGATCCGACGCATAGCGATCCCTCCTTGGGTTTCTGAGGTGATATCTCTATGGAAGTAGATTGCCCAATCTTCCTTCCAAGGAGTGGCTGGTGGGTTTGAACCACCAGCCTTCTGGTTAGCAGTCAAATATCTTAGGCACTATGTCACCAGAGCTCTTATGAGAGAAGGAAAAGTAGCTAAAAATTAAAAAAAAAAGGGGGGGGGCAGTTCTTAGAATGTAAACTCCATGAAATACACTCAGTACTGTTGGTTGAACAAGTGATCCTTGGTGGTAGTGGTGTAACAGGGTAACTGTTTATCCGTGGAAGTAGTTAGTTAATGAATCCTCACTCCTTCTCCACCTTAATACCTTTTCTTAAGAATAGAAAATTAGATATTTTTCTAAGATGGAAATGGAAAAAGGATTTTTTTGAGTTTGTTTTATATAAATTTAATTTTTTATCACCTTACATAAATTTTGACAGATCTTACTCTTGTTTTTATTATCAGAGTTTGGGGTTCTATTATTCTCTCTCTTTCCTACACTTCTTCCCTATAAAGGATACTTGAATTGTTGTGGAGGGGCTCCAAGCACAGCATGGATGCTTACACTAGATGACGTTGAAGTTCCTGTCTCCTAGATGTGATTCAGTAATATGGTGACTTAGTAGAGATCTTGGCTTTAGAGCCAGACTGCTTGTGTTTGAACCTCATGTTCTCTGTTTACTATCTAGCTCCATGACATTAAGCCAATGCCATCAACTCTTTATGTATCATTTTTTTCATCTGTAGAATGGAGACAATGATAGAATTACCTCATAGGGTTGTTATTAGGAATAAATGATTAAATAAATGTAAAACACTTAGGATAGTGCTCAGTACGTAGTAAGTGTCCAATAAATATTATATATCCTTATAAATCTGTCTTTCTTAAGCTACATGTTGTAGAGAAAATGAGGAAAATGTTTTTCTTAATTATATGGTACATTTGTACTGAATTGTGTGGTAGTTTTTTTTTTTCCTTCCCTTTATTTTATTATGAATTCTTTAGCCCAGTAGTCTCCAGGACCCTATCTAGCTGATAACTTATAAAATTATCGAGGGAACTTACCAGAAATAGAGTCTTTGGGTTTCAGCATAAAGTAGGTCTAGGGCAAAGGCAGAAATTCATGCCTTTTTGATTCAGTTGGGTACTAAGGCAAGTAAACTCTTGGCCTAGATCAAACTCTATGCTAGAGTTTGATATTAGTTTGTTTCTTAAGTTTTCATGTTGAAATGGAAATTATATTTAAGGTAACCTAACAGTTTTACATGTTTGCTGTTTGATCCTTGGGAGCTCTCGTAGCATATGCCTAAGGCTTTGACTGCTAACCAGAAGGCTGGCAGTTCAAACCCACCAGCTGCTCCTCTGAAGGAAGATTAGACAATCTGTTTCTGTAGAGATACTGCCTCAGAAATCCCAAGGAGGGATCGTGATGAGTTGAATCAACTTGATGGCTATGAGTTTAGTTTTTGGTTTGTGATTTTAATTTGAATCTTTGAATTAGGCACAGTATTAGTTATCATCTAGAGTTGCACTGTCCAATACAGGAGCCACTGGCCACTTGCAGCTATTTTAATTTTAATTAAATTGAATTTATAAATTCAATTCCTTAATTGTGCTAGCCAAAATTTAAGTGCTATGTAGCCACATGTGGCTAACAGCTGCCATATTAGATGCTGTAAATACAGTAAATTTCCATTATTGCAGAAGGTTCTGTTAGAGAGTAGCAGTCTAAATAAGTGGTCAGCAAACTAAAGACTACAGGCCAAATCCATCCTACCATCTGTTTTTTGTAAATAAAACTTTATTGGAACACAGCTATAGCTATTTATATATTGTTTTTGGCTGCTTTTGTTCCATAACAGAAGAATTGAGTAGTTATAACAGAGATAGTAAAACCCACAAAGCTGAAAATATTTACTGTCTAGGCTTTTACAGAAAATGTTTGCTGATTTGTGGCCTAGAGGACAGTGCAGGTTAATATAAAGAAAAAGGATTTTAAACCTAGAAAGCTTTGGGTTCTAATTCTTATTCCACTGATTTCTAGCCATGCAACTTTCAGCAAGTTTCTTAACTCTCCCAGCCTATCTAAACTTTCAGTTTTGTCAAGGAGTTGTTATAAAGGTCATGTGATAGCACATGCTAATAGTTGGTACCTAGTAATTTCTCAATTAATATAAGTGCCTTTTATCCCCATGTAGCTCAGCCCCCTCATTTTACCAATATGTTAGTTGAGACCTGTTATTGTTATGTGCCATTGAATCAGACCCGACTCATAGCGATCCCTCCTTGGGTTTCCGAGGCAGTATCACTATGGAAGTAGATTGCCCCATCTTTCTTCTGAGGAGTGGCTGGTGAGTTTGAATGGCCAGCCTTCTAGTTAGCAGTCAAGTGCCTTAGGCACTACGCTACCAGAGCTCCCAGTTGAAACCTAGTAGGGGCAATTAATATATAAAAGTTTTCAAAACTAATTTTGAAGGCTTCAGCAAAAATAGACACTTAAGATAAAAAAAAAAAAAACTTTTAAATACATAACTTGAAACCTTTGTGTTGTCTTAGTCATGATAGGTCTCCCTTCTGGAATTGTTGACTTATTGTTACTTTAGTAATTTTTCATTTTTCCTATCTAGTTCTTTCATTCTGTCTCTTAACTTGCCATTCATATACCTTTTGATATCCATTTCAGGATTGCCTGATATAATACAGTATGCTGAATTAAATTAAAATTTCAGATAAACAAAGAATAATGTTTTAATATAAATATACCCATGCAATTCAAATTTAACTGGGCATCCTGTAATTTATTTGCTAAATGCGGCAACTGTAATCCCTATGTATGCATATGTTCATATGTATATTACACAATTCTTGGGTAAAAAAGTTATTAACATCCTCAGTAGACTTCAGTATTTTCCATTCCTAAGACCCAGTTCAATTTACAGACCATCTAAAGAATAGATTTGATTCATTAAACACCAATGACCTAAAACCAGAAGAATTGTGGGATGACATTAAGAACATCATCCTTGAAGAAAGCAAAAGGTCATTAAAAAGACAGGAAAGAAAGAAAAGACCAAAATGGATATCAGAAGAAACTCTGAAACTTGCCCTTGAATGAATAGTACCTAAAGCAAATGGAAGAAATGACAAGATAAAAGAGCTGAACAGAAGATTTCAAAGAGCTGCTTGAGCAGACAAAGTCAATTATTATAATGAAATGTGCAAAGACATGGAGTTGGAAAGCCAAACGGGAGCAATGCGTTCAGCATTTCTCAAGCTGAAAGAACGGAAGAAAACATTTAAGCCTCAATTTGCAATACTGAAAGATTCTATGGTCAATATAAGGTGCTCTGGTGGCGTAGTGCCTAAGGCACTTGACTACTAATCAGAAGGCTGGCAGTTCAAACCCACCAGCCACTCCTCAGAAGGAAGATTGGACAATCTACTTCTGTAATGATACTGCCTTGGAAACCCAAGGAGGGGTCACTATGAGTCGGATCTGACTCTATGGCAGTGGGTGGTATGGGCAATATATTGAATGATGCAGGAAACCTCAAAAGAAGATGGAGGGAACACACAGTTGCTGTACGAAAAAGAATTGGTTGATGTTCATCCACTTCAGGATGTGGCATATGATCAGGAACCAATGGTATTGAAGGAAGAAGTCAAAGCTGCACTGAAGGAATTGGTGAAAAATAAGTCTCCAGGAATTAATGGAATACCCATTGAGATGTTGCAACAAATGGATGCCACGCTGGAGGCATGCCAAGAGATTTGAAAGACAGCTACCTGGACAACTGACTGGAAGAGATCCATATTTGTGCCCATTCCAATGAAAGGGGATCCCACAGAATGTGGAAATTATCAAACAATATCATTAATATCACAGGCAAGTAAAATCTTTGAAGATAATTCAAAAAAGGTTGCAGCAGTATATTGACAGAGAACTTCCAGAAATGCAAGCTGGATTCAGAAGAGGATGTGGAACGAGGGATATCATTGCTGATGTCAGGATGGGTCTGGGCTGAAAGCAAGGAACACCAGAAAGATGTTTACTTGTGTTTTATTGACTAGGCAAAAAACATTCAATTGTGTGGATCATGACAAGTTGTGGATAAGATTGAGAAGAATGGGAATTCCGAACACTTGATTGTACTCATGAGGAACCTGTACATAGACAAGGAGGCTGTCATTGAAACAGAACAAGGGGATATTGCATGGTTTAAAATCAGGAGGGGAGTCCATCTGGGTTGTATCATTTCCTATACTTGTTCAATCTGTATGCTGAGCAAATAATCTGAGACTATATGAAGAACATGGCATCATGATTGGAGGAAGACTCATTAACAATCTGTGATACACTGACGACATAACTTTGCTTGCTGAAAGTGAGGATGACTTGAAGCACTTACTGATGAAGATTGAAGACTACAGTCTGCAGTATGGATTACACCTCAATATAAAGAAAACAAAAATCCTCACAATGGGACCAAAAAGCAGCATCACAATAGATGGAGAAAAGATTGAAGTTGTCTAAGACTTCATATTACTTGGTTCTACAATCAACACCAATGGAAGCAGCAGTTAAGATATCAGACATCGTACTGCATTGGGCAAATCTGTTGCAAAAGACTTCTTTTAAGTGCTGAAAAGCAAAGATACCACCTTGAAGACTAAAGTGTGCCTGACACAAGCCATGGTGTTTTCATTGCCTCATATGCATGTGAGAGCTGGATAATGAATAAGGAAGACTGAAGAAGAGTCGATGCTTTTGAGTTCTGGTGTTGACAGAGAATACTGAAAAGACTGCTAAAAGAACTAACAAATCTGTCCTGGATGAAGTGCAGCTGGAATGCTACTTGGAAGTGAGAATGGCCAGGCTTTGTCTCACCTGCTTTGGTTATGTTGTCAGAAGGGACCATTCTCTGGAGAAGGATGTTATGCTTGGTAAAGTGGAAGGTCAAAGGAAAAGAAGAAGGCCCTCAACAAGATGGATTGACACAGTGGCTGCAATGAAGGGCTCAGATATAGCAGGTATCGTGGCACTAGCAGAGGACCGGGTGGTGTTTTCATTCTGCTGTTCATGGGGTCACTATAAGTTGGAGATGATTCGATGGCACCTAACAAACAAGAAGAAGACCCCAGTTATTCACATACTTGAAACTGACACACTGTCTTTCTCACTTTTGGTCTAGGAAAGCACAATGTCAAAGGGACACTGAGACCCCATCCTCTGACTTCTAACTTCATGAGGGTGAGACACAATCACCATCAGCAGCATCAGCCCAATGCTGATCCCTATGAAACGGAGGCTATACATGCTGTCACCCTCTGTTTTGGTTCTCTAGTGCTGCTCTAACAGGAATACCACAAGTGGAAGGCTTGAACAAACAGGGATTTACAGTTTAGGAGGCAGGAAGTCCGAGTTCAAAGTGCCAGCCCTAGAAGCTGGGTGAAGGCCCCTCAACCTTGGGCTTCTGCTCTCTCTTGCTCCTGGCCTACTGGAGCTGGAGGCTTCCCTTAATTCAAGAAGCTGCTTGCTGCTGAGGCTGACAAACCCAAGGTCAACAAGTAAAATGGCACAGTAGTAAGATTATCAGGCAACACAGCAGGTCACTAGTTCAAGTCCAGAAACAGTGTCAAGGTTGGCAGACAACATGGCAGGCCACTGAACTGAAAACTAGGCCAAATGAAGGATTCAGATATGCCAAAAAGCTCAAGATCTTTCTCAAAGTGTCTCCTTATATACTGGAAACAGATCCATCCCCAAGGCAGATACTCAGCTATTCACAGTAGATTCCACCACAGAGTTGATTACCAGTCTTATCATGGGGAATCACTATATCCAGCTGCCCAGCCACTCAAAACCAGCACCAGCCAAGTTGACACATAACCTTGACTACCACACTCTCCAACCATTTTACCAATTCTGACACCAGCTGTCCCTCCCATTGCACTCTCTACTTCTTTGCTGGGTTTGATAATTCATTGCAATGGCCACACATAACTCAGAAAATATTCACAATTAATGGAGTTTATTAAGGAGGCAGATTACAATTTAGGTTCAGGAATGCTCCAGATGCAATTCTTTGATCAGAATAGCACTTTCTTGGCTGTACCTGTAGTTGTGCCTCTCTTTGGTCATTGGCCTCTCATCCTGGCCTCTGCCCTGCTCAAGCAAGTGTTACAAAGCTTTTTTAGCTCTGCCAATACATGCACCCCACTCCACCAGCAAACCTCTTGCCCAAAGACACTCAGCTTCTTGCTCCATGGGGGTGGCAAGCCCACTGCTCTGACTTCTGTCTTGTGGTAGTTTCTTGGCTCTGCTGCTGCTATCTCTCTACCATCTCTCTGCAAAAGGATCTCTGGTCTAATCATGCACTCCACTCCTGCTTCTTCTCTTTTGATGGTAGTGAGATTCCCCTTTTCCGTCTCTGAGATGCCTCATTTTAAACCTAGCAAAATGGCAAAATTGACCAATCCCCACATTAGGGTCCTGCACACCTTATTTCTATGGTCCTATCCCCACGAGAAGGCGCTCTGGTGGCATAGTTGGTAAGGCATTTAGCTGTTAACCAAAAGGCTGCCAGTTCAAACCCACCAGCTACTCCACAGGAAGAAGATGAGGCAATCTACTTCTATAAAGATTGTCATGTATCTTACTTACATTGTTAACAAGGTATCTAGTCCCCTTTGTGGACCACAAGCACCTCACATTTACATAGTCCCATCCAATCATCAGGGAAAGTCACAAAGACCATGGCTCAAAGAGCCATACTAAGTAATTCAGTGCATCACACACAAGCATATCCTTTCCTTCACCTCCACCCCAACATGTTGGGAAAAACTCTTACATTTATGTAAATGTTTTCAATTTTTAGAATTATTACTGGGAAAATACTCAAGGTTCACTATACTCCACTCCTGGTATATACGTGAATGAGTAGATACCAAAGATAATGTCTTGAGTTATAACCCCTGTAATTTGAATTAGTGAGTTTTAGGTTTATACTGGGTCTTCCTCTGCCCCAGAACCTGGATCTCTGCCCTGTGTAGGGTCTGTGTTGCCCCACTGGGTTGGCAATCTTCTAACTTTTTGTTTCCAGGGCCTCCCTGGGTTCATCATTATGATCGTGGAACTAGATGACTTTTTGAACCCCTTCTAACTTTAGTGTTCTCTGACACAATAGCAATGTAGTCTATCATAGTGTTCATGTTATGCACTCTCTGTGGAGCTTAAGTGATTGAGTAGCAGCCATGTTGGTTACCAATTTAAGTGTTATTTAGCAGAGCTTACAATCCTCAGAGCCACCAAAGTCTCATTGTCAGTAATTTATTCACCAGTTGCTCATCACAGAATATACATTCCTATGTTCTTGGCTATTTAAAAGCCTGGTGTTAGTGTTAATCTAATAGTGCCTAAATTAGAATATATAAATAAAAAAAAACTAAACTCACTACCACTGAGTCAGTTCTGATTCAGAGACCCCCATTGGGTTTCCAGGGCTATAAATCCTTATGGAAGTAGATTGCCTCATCTTCCTTCTGTGGAGCAGCTGGTGGGTTTGAACCTCCAACCTTCTGGTTAGCAATCAAATGCCTTAGGCACTGTGCCATCTGAGCTCCTTAATTAGGGTATAGGCAGCCTAATTTCACTGCCATCATTTATTAAATGTGGTAATTCCAAATTGTCCAAAATAAGTTTTTCTAATCCATGTTAAGATGTAGAGATTGCTTTCTCAGATAACTTAAAAAAAGAATGCTTTCTAATGACAGTATCTGTGATTTGATTATTGACTAAAGAAGTATTAATTTCTTACAGGTTTTATTTTTGGAATTGAAGTTGCCACCAAATGGAGAGATGAAAAACCAAGGCAGCAAGAAAACTTTGGGCTCTACCAGAAGAGGTCGTGACAATGGACGAAGGCTGGGAAAACAGTTCAGCACTAGTAAGGTGCTGTCACAGGGCAGAATCTGAACTGCTTGTAGCTTTTTGTTGTTTGCAGGAACACTGATCAAAGCAAGATCCGACGTAGCCGTTCTCTCACCAATTGAAAATTTCCAGATAAAAACAAATATATTTTTGGTTCAGTGGCCCACAAAAACTGTGGAGACATTCTAATGTGGAAAATTTGGATCATACTCAGTTAGTAATTGTGTCCCTCCCATCACTATATACATAACAGTATAAAGGTTTGTAAACTCAGACCTGTAGACATTATTTAATTTTTATGTTTGCTACTCTTGGAGTAAAGTATAGTTTGTATGAATTTATGTGAACATGAACAAAGATGTGGAATAACTAATAATGGAAATAAAAACAAGAGCCAATACAATAAAACTTTTTTTTTTCTTTTTCAGTTCTAGGACCAAAATAGTAAGCTTTTCATGGCTTTGTTTAAAGAATATAATCTGCTAATTTCAAAGTAAAATGGCTAATCTCCATTCATTGAAAGTATATGCAATAGTGGGAGAGAAGTGAGGAATGGCTCATTTTCACATTTTTTACTGAAAGAAGTTACAGTGGAACAGTAAGGGCAGAACATGCAGTCACCACAGCCATGGAGAGCTGTGCTATTCTGTAGAATTTTGACCCTAGTCCATTAGTTGTGACTTGCCTGTCCCTTGGCAGTTTCCACATCTCCATGCTATAGGACATTGATTTATTTGATCTCACTGGAGCTTTTTACCTCACAAATTTCTATTCTTTAATGGTTTATTGAATATATATAGCATGGAAAATTCAAGATACTTAAAATGAAATGTCTTCTGATTTCCTTGTACAGAAACCATGAAAGTATCAGGAAAGGAAGGGAGAAAAAAAAAGGGAAACTTATAATCACGTGAGGAATGGAGAAAGAAAATGAATAGGGAAAGAAAGATGATGTGATCTCTTGGGTTAGGAGTAGGGAGACAATAAGGTTACTAAGTTGATATTTTATTGAACTTTTTAAAAAGGTAGATCTAAATTGCTGTTACTCAGAATTAACTTGTTTGCATTTTATGAACTGTAGTTGTCATAGTTTTATCATTATGGTGATTCCCAATAAGCCCCAAACAGTGATTTTGAGTTATAGATGCAGCATCTATCAAATTCTATGTTCTTTAGCTAAAAGAGATTCTGCTTTGCTATGGGATTTGGCCAAGAATCCAATCTTACCTTATTATATTTCTTTGGCAGGATATTTTAAATAAATTAAAGGCACTCCATCCTTTACCTGGCTTGATATTAGAATGGAGAAGAATCAGTAATGCTATTACCAAAGTGGTCTTTCCCCTGCAGCGGGAAAAGCGTCTGAACCCTTTTCTTGGAATGGAAAGAATCTATATGGTATCACAATCACACACTGCTACAGGTAATGAGGAATCTTAAATATGAATAATACCCAATTTTGAAAGAAAAAAAAATTTATATATGTATTTGCTTATGATAAACAAGGAATTCAAGTGTCCTTCATTGGGATCAATGAAGTTCCACAAACATTTATCAAACACATATTACATGCAAGGCTTAGACACTACTTAGATTCAGAAATGAATTTTAGTAAGGTACAGTACCTTCTTTCAAGTACTATTTAGAGTGATTGGAATATCTGAGACAGTGCTTTGGATGAGAGAATATGCAGGAATTAAATATTTAAGTCAGTAATCTTATCTGGTTTCATTCACAGCCCTCTCCTGAGCCTTTTGAGATCTCCCCAAGTTAAATCTAAGTGGACCTCTGGGGCATCTGTATAAGAGAGCATCTTACCTTACTCAAACAGAAAGAATGCTTCAGAGTCTTGGATGTCTCAGAGCCTTCTTGGGTTAGGTATAAGGTATTCTGGTGAGGGAAATGCATTTTTTCCCTACTGTTTTTGTGTGCTGCCAAGTAAATTTAAACTCACAGTGAGCCTATATGACAGAGTAGAATTGGCACATAGGGTTTTCTAGGCTATATATTCCTTATGGAAGCAGACATGTTTCTCCCATAGTTTGAACCTTGACCTTTCAGTTAGCAGCCAAGCACTTAACCATTGTACCACCAGGGCTTCTTATATACTTCCCCTAGGCAGTCTAAAACTCAAATATTTGTCAAACACAATGTGCAGAGGAGGAAAGGGCATGTTACTATCTCATAAGAGAGACAGTTTAGATTCTTTGTATAGCATGTGGGCTTTGAAATCAAACTTTTACAAGATTTGAACACTGGCACTGTGAATTTTTAGGTAAGGTGCTTGACATCTAAATGCCTATTTAGTGAGGTCATTCCAAAGATTAAATAGATTAATACATGTAGAATGTTTAAGACATATAATAATAACAGTAATAATAAAACTCACTGCCATCGAGTTGGATCCGACTCATAGTGACCCCTCCTTGGGTTTCTGAGGTGGTATCTCTACAGAAGTAGATTGCCCAATCTTCCTTCTGAGGAGTGGCTGGTGGGTTTGAAC